CGATTACATTTTAAGCAAGTTCTCCTATTACACAGACTATATGTATATAGCCTGTCCCAAGCTATTTGGCAGTGATTGGTTCGAAAGGTTTTCTCTCATATTGGATGGTTGCCGGTTTCAGCGTATGTTCCCGGTGAATTGAGGAAATAATTCTTGTCAAATTAGATATAATTGTTATAGCGCGGTTTTCTAGAAGTTTTAGAAACTATCTTTGCGTTTCATTGTTGCTAAATTAAACATTCGTCATTAGTATTGCTTTAAGTAAGTGTAGAAATTTCATTTTTACAAACGGGAGGTTAAATTTGCAGAATGTAATGTAACAATTAATTGGGAAAATAAATCAGTTTCTGCGGATTCAGTATTAATTTGCCTCAATTTTACAGTACTTGGCGATAAATGTGAGCGCTAAAGTGTGTTATTTTTGTGCTCATATACCTGCAATCAAATTATGAAGAAAATAGAAGAAACAAAAATGAGGAACTAAGCGATGGTAGTGTGAACATATGAGCAAAATGAACTGTTGTTTGCCCTTGCAATATTGCTTAAACAATTTCAGTTCCGAAAAATAACACACGCACAAACAGAAAATGTGCCGGTAAATTGAAATCATTATTTGGAAAAAATTCGCAGCAAACTGCCAACACTAGCCAATAAATTAAATCAATAATTTTAATATTCTTCGCGAATCGTAATAATTTGAGCATCAAAGACATACGCTCATAACATCAAATTTTCCCTCCAGCTCAATGGACCAGTAATGGACAAAGAAGGACAGTTATTGCGCCATTGCCTTCGGAAAGACTATACAATATTTTGGAAAATCAATAATAAATTTTCATCAGTGCCTCATAAATTTTTTGTGAAATTTATTTCAAAATTGAGTTGAACATCTGTTGCGGTGGTCAAATAATAACGATCTGGAAGGAAAACTAGGAGAACCGCTGAGAGAGCAAAGCTTTGAGTACCCACGAGATTTTTTTCAGCTGGAGGGCAAAAATTAATTTCTGAATTAATCATTAACTAAATTTGTGAATTATTATATATAAGGCACATTTTTCAGGCCGCAAAATGTAAAGCGCTTCGACTAATAAATTCTTTACTAGTTGATGCCTCTCGAAAACACTTCTATTGATAAACGTAGCTCACCTGATGATAAGCCGAGTAGTATTTGCCACTAGTATTCGCACTTATTGGACTTCCATTTCTACTCCAAGTGAATCGCGCTAATGGAGAAGCTTGACTTCTGCATATCAGTTTTCCTGTGTCACCTGCATCACTTGCAAACTTCAATAGAGTGGGACCCGCATCAATTTCGGGTTTATCTAAAAAAAAAATTATCATCATGATCTTGAATCCACAAGCAGAACTATTAGTAAATCGTACGTTTGACAATCAGCATCACGTTCTTTGTGGTGGCATTTCCAATTCCATTGTTTGCAATGCATTGAAACATTCCAAGATCCTCCCTGGTCACTTGAGTGATTCTCAAATGCGAAGTTCCATTCTTATCATACATTATGGATGTTCGAGCATCGAAGTCAGGAAAATCATCCCTTTTCCATGTTATTGTGTCGTCGGCCATAGGATTTCCATCGGCCGAGCACGATAAAGTAGCATCTTCTTTAGGATTCACAATGACGGTTTCGCTGGTTTGTAGTATGGATGCAGGATCTTGAAAATTATTTAACATTTAATTTTTCCCTGAGAGAATTAGACACTACCTTACTTACATTGAACAGTAATATTCACTGAAGCCATGGAACTTCCCTGTGAATTTAGAGCCTCACAGTTGTAAGCGCCCGCATCATGTCTGGTCAGTCTTGTGATATTCAAAACAGGTCCATCGGAGACTATTCTTTCTGCTCCATTTGCTGATGATGACTGGGTGATGGGAAGACCATCTCTCGTCCATGTATAAGCCAAACTTTCTGGATTTCCATCCGCTTTCAGGGTGATAATTAGAGGTTCATTCTCTATTCCAGTGACAAACTCTTCGTTGCTTTTATCGAAAACAGGTTTGTCTAGAATCAAGAAACCGCATGCAGTTATTTAACTGTGCATAGACGCACTAAGTAAAAGTAGATGATTATTTAGAGTAGGATACAATGCTTACATAAAACTTGCAAACTGATGGAATCATGAGCACTTCGTTGAAGCGCCTCGTTTTGCGCTTGGCACGCGTACTGAATGCCATTCATTTCCTCCGACACATTAACTTTCAGCTCAATTGTTGATACTGTACCGCCATGGAGGCCTTGTTTGGAGTAATTTTGGTATCCTTGTACTGGAATGCCTTCACGCCACCAGGTCAATGTGGCTGGAGGATTGCTCGAGCTGGAATCGCAAATTAATGTTGCTTCCTCGTTCGGTTTCAGTTCGGCTGGCTCTTGACGAATTCGCACAGTTTCCGGTGGATCTGCAATTGGGAAATTATAGCAAAGGCACAGTTTGGTACCGCTTGAGCCCTTACAATAGACACTCATGGTGATGGTTTTAAACATTGGTATTTCAGTGGCTGAGTTGGCAGCTTCGCATCGGTATTGAGCTTCGTTGTCTGTGACGTTGGTGAGAATTGTGATTTCGGCACTCACAATGTCGTTATTTGTTTTAGTGGTTGAATGAATCTAGATTAAAATGTATTAGATAATATTTTTCAGATTCTGGAATTTTTTCAACATTACCTTTTTGTCGTTTTTGTACCACGTTAAAGTAGCCAAAGGGTTTCCGCCTGCGGAAGAACAGGAAATTTTCTTAACTGTTCCTGCAGTTATATGCAGTCCTTCCTCATAGCCTTGAATGAATGGCTGGCTTGGGGGATCTGGAACATAATCATTATTTGATCGTGGTCATTCATCATGCCGATGTTTAACTTACATAAAACATTGATTGTGTGGGTCGATACTACATTTTCAGTGAGTTGAGCGTTGACTCCATGACAAATCACCACCACGCTTCTTTTATCAGTTTTTACGACTGCTGTGATATTTGAACTGGTAATCCAACCACCTTCTGGAGATACCACCGTTCTTGATGTTGCATTTTGAACTGGCCGGCCTTCAATCTGTTAAGGAATTATTTCATATATTAGCAATGTAGAACAAACAATAGTCTGTTCGTGGGATTTACCATCCATCTGATTTCGGCTGGTGGGTTGGAATTTGCAGTGGAGCAGGTCAATGGCACCGGATCTCCTACTCTAGCTTCAGTCGGTCCAGATATTGATACGTGAGCAGGAGCAACTAGATAGGTTTGAGCATGTTTTCATTCTAGAGATTGTTCAGCTTGTTAAAACTTACACAAAACTGTCATATCTAATTCCGCCTTCAATACGTTTTTCGACATGATATTGCTGGCCTCACATTTGTATCGAGCTTTGTTATCACTCGCATCTGCTGTGAAAGTATACACGTTCTCGGATACTCTTCCTGCTGTCCGGTATGCCATTCGAATTTGTTCCCCGTTTTTGTACCAGATTAGTTGCGCTGGCGGATTACCACCACGACTTCTGCATACTAATTCGACCTAGAAAAAGTGCGGGTTGTTGTAAAAATTGAAAATCATATTCGGGGAAAATTGTGTTATCGTGCATTGGGAATTGATAGGCGTTCGCTCGGCTAATAGTTTCATTTGAATAATTATTATTGCTTGGTTTCTATACGACGGTCACGTTGGCGAAATATAAAAACAATATTTTATGAATTTACAAGAGGATACTATGCCCAATCTGAAAAATTCTTCGTACAAATAAGTCTTGCTGAGAGAATTAAGAAGATAAATGCCCAATATTTTAACCGCAAATTCTAGAACCCCGAACAAGGATTATTTCCTTATATAAACAAAATGGATTATCATCTCAAATTAGTTAGTTAAAGTTACAAACCGCATGAGTTTTTCTGTATTGCCCATTTGAAACATTAAAATAACTTTTTATTTCGCGGAATATGCATAGTCTGTAAACATATCTCAAGGCACTTTTTTGAGAGCGCTTCAGTGGCGACTAATATTTTTTAATTTCCAGAGATGAATCTGATAATCGTATTTTATCTATCTATTTTCAGACATAATATTTCGAAAACGATTGGTCCGAGAAGTTTCGATCGAGTAACTACACATTTTTGATTTTGGATCGTCGGTATATAAGGTAGCAAGATCGTTAAAGTTAATGGAAAGCAAACAAAGTTTAACATGGGCCGTTTTCAAAGGAAATTTAAAAAACAACATAGAAATATGCGTGTAATAAAACAAAACACAGACAAATCAAGGTTTAGGTAAATTGCGCATTTATCAGGTTTAACCTTTTAATAAAATATTAACAAAAATTTAAACTAAATTTACTTTTTATAAGCGTAAGTCAGTTAATTAGCTGCTAATACGCTACGTACATTTGTGCAACATTTCCTTACATTTTCTCTTAAATAAATTGATGAACTCTGAATATGGAGATCCCTCAGTTGATAAAAACTATTAATTCCAGCTATACGAAATGCTTTCCCAATTCAACTTTCAAATTGAACTGCGTTAATGTATATGTTTATTAACTAGGCACAATAATTGACAAGCTGATTTTATTCCATTTGGCTTGTCTGCACTGTATATTTTAGATGAACCGCTGTAAATTGTATCACATTTTAGATTTGCCTCTCGTCCTAGTTGAAACTGCTAATAATTCGATTAACTTTCTTTTCTGTCTACTGTGTACACAAGGGAAATTGCGTCGAAAACCTCTATATATAATATAAATTCGACACAAAGGACTTTCGGCAAGAACCGGAGGTTTCTGACGAAAATAGTATTTTTCTTGGGGATGTCAATATCGAAATGTTAGAAGTGTTTTTCGTAAATTTATAAACTTTTTGTTAAATTCTAATTAGCGCACAATCTATAAAAAACGCGATGATTTAAACTGCCCCACGATTTTCATTGTCAATCGTTTCATAAACGGTTTTTGCACCACGGTGCTTATGATTTTATCCTTTACAAACAGAAAAAACTAATATGCAAAAAGCTTTTACCCCTTTTTATACTGCTCCCAGGAGGACAAAAGTTCCGTTACCCTTCTGCCGTATTGCATAGAGTTAAATGAGGCTCCACGCATGATTTTGTATTATCATTGATCTCTGGGCTTTTAAAATAGCTCTGGCACAATATTAGTTTTTGCTGCCGGCAAAAACTGCATAACGCTAGAGCTCATAATTAAATGAGTCCCATAATATATTGTAATTAGAGCGGGCTTAGTAATAATGTAGATATTTTATTCCGATTAAATGGATTTATGTCATATTTATTTTTCCGAAGTTGGAAATTGCAGCGTGGTTAGTTTATAGTAATTGTCGCGAAAAGGGTGTTTTGTAAATAGTGGTATTTCTGATAACCGTTAATTTGTTTGTCATTCAGTGGGAAAAACCTGAAAATTTGTCGTGTTTGGGAATACGTTATAGGAAAAATGGGGAATTCGTTCAGATCTAAATTACAAATAGATCTGAACAATTATTTAGGAATTCTACTTTCTAATTTATCGCTTTCATATACAAGTTGCGAAGGCTTTGCATCAAAATAAAATTGGAAACGGGGTAAAAAGCCGCTTTATTGTTTTAAGACTTTGGATAGTTGAAGCTGTTTTTGCTTTAAATTTCCATTATACGCTGTATAATTGCTGTATAATATACAGCAATAAATTGCAGATGATTTCAACGTTGAGATCAGTAACAATATTTATATAATAGCAAACTAATTTTTTGTTACATTTGCATACTTTTCATACAGTCGACGTAATGGATAAAAGTAAACAAAAAAAATCGGTATTTCAAAACAATAGCGCCAATTATGATTATTTTATTACACATTGCTAAAGTTTGTAGTATCTATAAAATTGGTTGTGTTTTCTCTCTTATATCAACGCTGTATCCGATTCTTTTATGGACTACCATAAAACAATCCTAGAAACATAAAAATAATGGGGGATATTTACGATGGAGATTATTTCCTCTTAATACACGCTATGTATTAATAGGGAAACATTTTCCGAATGTTTCTTGCCAAACCACTCTGTTACTTTTCACATCATTCCATTTAAAGCCGTCCTACTTGACCAAGTTTTTATGTTCAAACTCACCGTTTGTCCTCTTTTGATGGTTTCTCCTTCGGTATAACCTTCAATATAAGGCAATCCAGGTGGATATAAAACACTAAGTTGAACGGTAGCTCTCATGGGTATGCTAGAAACTAGAGCCTCGTGTCTAGCTTCACAGGTGTAACTAGCAAAATCATCTTCAGCAGTTGGTTTCAGTGATATTCGAGAGTGGGTATCGTAGCGAGTTACTCTTTTATCGCCGGTTTTGCCAGGAATTTCGATTGTTTGGTCTTCACGACTCGCTAGAATAAAACATTTTTGGTAATCTGGGTAGTAGATTTTACGAATAGAAACGCATTTTTTTAAATTATTGTGTTTTCTCAACTCTTTAATCTCTATCGGTTACACAATAGTCTGATTTTGTCATTTTCTCATCGGTAAAGTTTCCTTTCTGTCAGTACATATCAGCATGCTAAAATCTGAAAGAACATTTTTGGCCGAATGTTCTTACATTAAAACTACATTTTGCATTCACATATTTATAATTTGCTGAGGGTTTGGAATCGCTAATTTCAGACATTTAGTGATGACTGTATTATTAGAATGTTTTCAATAATAAAAATTTATTTTTACCGAACTGCATGAAAGCCGACGACAAAGTTTTGCCTTTCACTCCCATTATAAAGACGACATAATAACAAAGTGGATCGGTTCAAAAAGAAGATAAAAACGACGAAACTCTTATTACATCTGTCCTGAATGAATGAAACAAAGGGCCGCTTCAGCGAAATGAAAGTGTAGGCGAAAGAATAGATAACGCCATTTTCTCTATGCCTTTGCAAGACGCTTTGTAATCCAGGAAATATGACATTTAATGGTAAAGGTAAAATCGCAATGAAAAAACCCATCACGCCTTTCGGGTCCCAGCATTCAGCGCCAAACATAGTGCTAAAGTAAAACGGCTAATAATTGCGAATGTTGCAGTGTTTACCATATTTTTTGTATCGGTGCTTTGAGCGCTCTAATAAAATCCATAAAACTTGCCGTTTTGTGTTCTGAATTTTAAGTAACCTCTGTTTTGCTACGTTTGCCAACGGTTTCGAATGAATATTTTCAGCGGACTTATTGGGAGGAATCCGCTTTTCTATACCGGTTTATAGCAAACAGTTCGCACCTCTTAAAGAAATATACAATCGGTGAAACTGCTAACTAGGAAAATTAGTCAAATTTTAATTAAAGTTACACCTTGGTAGAATGTCAAGTCACCTCTAGTAAGTTTTTGAAAAAAAGCCTTTGAAAAAAATGTTACCAACTGAAGCGCCAAATTTAGCTTATTTATGTAAACTGTTTTATTTCTTTCTACTCAATTTTTAGTTGTATTATGCACTTTAAAAATAGACAAAATAGCATTGAATTCAATGAATTATTATTTTTGAGTCAATTTCGTTTCTTATTAAGATTTTTAGTTGCTGACGTATTTTAAACGGGCACTTATTTAAATATCAACACTAAAACAAAACATATTAAAATATTTCTTAAATTCTTTAACATGCTTTAAAGTCAGAGTAACAAACACATTAACCGTTTTTTGTTTAATTTATCGTTTGGCTTTCGTCTTGCGTTTTCATTAATAACAAATTAGTTTAATTAGCAAAGTACTAACATGCAAGAATATCACTAAAACAAAACTGTTTATTTAAGGAAAATGTGAACAATTTTATTTGAAGAAAGCTGAAGCAACCCTTAAAGGATTCAAGACAAATTTTTCGTTCAAATTTGATTAAAAACTCTTATTTGAGATTTGTCTCACCGTACGCGTTTTGAAAACTTCTAGTCTTTCGCTCCAGTTTTAAAATTAATACTGGAAAAATCGTGTATTTTTCAAACTACGAAATTTCGTATTATTCATAATCCTATCTATAGTCAGCAACAATTAATTTCGTTAATGGAGTTAATACAAAATCAGATTTAATTTATACATGAATAAGCAAATCGCTTCCAAAATGCCATTACATTTAACCATTACGGATCTACCCCTACATTAGTAGAGAATTGCTATTGGGACTTACGTATGTTAATTTCCACATTGCCTCTATACCAAATAATCTTAGCGGCAGGTTTTGCATTACGGACTCGGCACTCCAAATGAAACTCTTGATTTTCCTTTATTTCTATTTTCGAGTTGTGCCTGTGGTCGAGAATTTCCACCGAGGATGGAGGAGCTGAAACAAAAGAATTATTGCTTAATGTTAAAAGAAAAATGAAACTGGGAATTGTACTTGTTCTTCGAGTAGCTTAAGTCATTCTGCTCGTTTACGTAATCTGGAAACGTGCCTTCGTTTTCTCTACTACTCTCGTATTGTTTCTTTTTTAAACAACCCTTAATCATAGTAGATTTATTGGCCTGCTTTCTTAATAATGCTTTCATTCAGCAACAATGTTATTAATTGAGGGAATCGTATTGTTTTTAGCAAAATTAAATATAAATAATGTAACTATTTATGATTGAATTCGGCAATAAATTCTCATATCTGCATTTGCTTTTGGAAGTTTCAATTTTAGAGCAATAATTGCAATAAAACAATATCGGCATATGGTAGTTTTGGACGAAAATAAAATTCCGCTGAAACAAACGAAACCATTATACTCGTTTATTTTATAAAGCTTTACGGCCAGTGATTCACTTTGATCTCATCGTTTTCATATTGCATGCATTTTTGTTTCAGCGTTTTATATTTATATGATTTCGGTTAAAGTTTAGGCAATTACAGAATTCAGCGTTATCATGCAATTCCGAAACGTCGATATGGACCAATAAAACTTATACTCGATTTAGGAAAAAGTATGGTACCATTTTGCTGATTTAAAATTTGAGCTTTGTTGCCTTTGAACTTTTGATAAATGACATTTTCAAACAATCTTTATTCCATCTGTGAAATGAAATTATGTAAACAGTTGTTTCGTTGGATTTAACTGGAGCTTTCAATAAAAACCGTAACTTGTTGAGTTGAAAGAACCACCACAAACGATCCGATTAATTGTTCATTAAATATTAATTTCAAATGATCAACATCGTATTTAAAAAATGCAAACAATTCGCTAAATGATGTAGGATTGTAGATGCGTTTTACTGCTATTTACATAGGTTTTGTAGTCCATTAACCAAATTGCAATTCCAGAAAGTACTGAGATAGCTGAATTTAAATAATGTTTTTGATTTAATTTTCTTTAAACTATTTAATATAGTAATGGATGGAAAATAGGAAATCTAATGTTGCAATTCGGCCGCATCCGATTTTGATACAAACTCGCGTGTTTGTTTAGCCACTGTGCAATTTGATTCATTTTGCAACATTCTCTAATCACACACACATATAGTACCTCATATTTAGATTTATTCCTGTGGGATTGCAATTTCAGCTATTATCTACGTAAATGCTATTAAACATACCCGATTGAAAACACGATATGCTCTAATCCCTATTTCAAATTCGTTTATTTTAGCTTTTAATCATTTGATTTTTAAACCGCGTAGTAAGGTTGGTACGCAATAACACAAGTAATTGGGATTTCGCATTTTGAATATTTGCAATCTGTCTAGTTAAGCAGAACAAAAGAAATTAATTCGAAAAATTTCATATTAAGCTTTGCTGGTTTATGCAAGCCAATGTAAACAAACCGAAAAATAAAATAAACTACCTTGCTAAGATCTCTAAGAAGATGCTTGAGCACAGCTATCACATCATCACATCAACAATTAATTCTTTTTTTTTACGAGTACACATACTTCCAAAGGGTCTGAGACCGTTTATATAAGGCGCCAGCCTTCAAACGAAAAACAACAGAAAATAAAGTAGGCAGGTCTGAAGGCATTTTCCATTTGCCAACCGAAGGAGGGTTTTCTTGCCGAGTCGAGTAAGAAATAGCCTTAATTTTGTTTTGTAATTTCCCTCCTTAAATTAAATTCGGCGAATTGCTATGGGGGACGTGTCTTCCTGCTGCAGTCGACATTCCGTATTGTGCAACGGCCCTCAAATGTTGCGTGCTTTCCAGGCAACTGCAAACCCTTAATAGCGCCATGTCCACGTTTCACCCTTCGAATATATTTTACACAAATGAGAATTTTGATACACGTTTTCAGTAAAATCGGATTTTCGTTTGCTTGAATTTTCCGTTTAATTCTAGCGCTGATAAAGGCTCTCCTGGTTAAACATTTCTACTCGTATCTTTGCGTACACTATTGCAGAAATAGCACTCACGGTTTTGGAATAATTGATAAATCATGGACTATTGTGAATATCGGGTATTGTGGCAGTTTCTGAATAGGAAATATTGTAGTTTAGATTCGAAGCTTCTATTAAGTACGATTTAGTGGTAATATGATTTGCAGTCGTTGGTTCAAAAGAAATTATTAGAATGGTAAATGATAACGTTTGTTGCTGCTTTCACTTAAGTTGAAAAACATTTTCCAAATTGATTTCCGAAGCAGTTTATAAGGACAAAAACTGTAATTTTGCATTTTATTCTATGTAAATTTTATGCCAATAAATTACGATGACTGTTCCAAATATCCAAATGGCTTATTATGTATAATGCCGAGATGGTAATGTTCAAACTTCTCTCTTACAAAGTTTCCATAAAGTTGAGATGAATTTCCGATCGAGCTCGTCTTCTGAATAGCACTCGAAAAGGCACAAAACCGGTTATAATCGAACAAAGCTCCTAACCGTGCCGAAAATATATTTTTTTGATATTGTTTTATGATAAGAATATTTTATTTACAAAAGAACATTCTTTTTTACATAACAATTAGGGCTGGTGTTTCTGTTTTCATTAGGACTTATTAGGTTGGTTAATATCTTTTTTCTTACTTAGAAATGTGCTTCGTTTTCCTTAAGAAACTTTGAAAAATATTTTGTAGTTTTGGGATTATATGACATTAAATGACTTTATTTCAGCGATGGCAGATTTGTTACTCGATTTTATATAATGTAAATTACATTTTAAAAACAACAAGCTGTGAAATCGCTTCAGCCATATTTTATTGATTTCAGGTCCTAGTGACATACAATCCGTTGCTGGTTGGATTAAACCTTTATTGTTTCTAAATGCTGAGGAAGTTTAGGTCAGCAATCTTACTCATTGTAAATATTAAGTATCCGGCACATATAGTCATGGATCTAATATTTTCGCGTGCGTATCAATTTATTTATCTGAGATTTCATAGTTTGGTTTTTCGTTCATCTTCACTATACTTATACTATCTCACTTTCATCATGTTTCTTTTTCAGGCATTTTCTTATATTAATTTGCTAGTGACAAAAATAATTATATTTTCCCATGACCTGTACGAACAAACCCAAATTATTAATCGCCTGATATTTCTGAGATTTTAGGTGCAAATCGATCGAGTCGGTTTCACCCTGGCATCATCTTGAAAGAAATGCTCTTAAGTTGGCAAACATACGAACTGAGAAGCGCTTCCACGAATAATATTGGTTTAGTAAGTGCCAAGCATTGAGACCCCGATGCACACTTTATAGTCCGACAAAACGGTCGCCATTTCGAGATCTGAATAAAGTTCGTTATTAGTCGGGTTCATTTTACATTTAGAAGGAATATGGAACGATTTCTCCGATATTCGCCCTTCGTTGCGGCTAAATTCTTGTTTTGCATTTTCGGGGGTTGAATTTATGATTATGGCTTGTTTAGGAATACGTAAAGACGGAAAATGCGATAAGCGCTCCTTGCGAGTAACGTGTATGGAAGAAACAAACTGGTAAAAAAAAATTGACCTAAGATGTGAGGGAGGAGGGAGTGGATCGATAAATTTAACATTTATTTGAAAAAAAAATCATCTAACAACTAGCTGTTTGATAATTTGTTATCCATTTATCGACTGCTTTCAGCATTCGATTTCTATATCAATTCAGATGTGGGATGCTTAAATATATTATGCCCGTTAGGATTGTTTCAACACCAAAGCATAAAATTATTGGAATCTTCACTTAACATTCCAATATGCTCGACATTCCTGGGCATTCTCAGAATGGGTGAAACATCGGGTGATAGGGGTATAATTCGTTCCAATACGGCCAATTGACAATAAATTATTGATGTAAATGACCATTTTTATAAGCACATAAACCACATTTTAGAAGCTCAAATGTTCTGCTTGACTTGTTTGTTTGCTATTGTCACTTAACACTTTTTTACTTCCACCACACATACTTGGCACTGCCAAGACCAGATAAATCTTGTACAGATATAGATTTTAGACAGGTATATTTCCTGTAGCAAAATGAATGTTTTCTTAAAGCAACTTCAAGATTTTGCAATTCATGATGCTGATTTGACTTTGTAAAATGCCCGACTTTTCCGGTATCAGTTTTGATTCATGAAATATTACCTGGTTTTTGTGTTGCAGTTCAGCTCAAGTTGATCAACCATTCAGTTCAAAGTAAAACCATCAACTTTTTGCTTACTGAAGGGTTAATCTAAATTTTCGTTTAGATTTCGATTACCATGCGACAGAAAAATGTAAATAAAAAACTTATTTTAGGCCAAGTCACTAAAACTACAGCATTATTTTTATGGGTTTTCATTGTCTATTTACCATTTTATGAATATAAGAGAATTTCAATAAACAAACAAAACTCATTAAAAGCCCGACATAGACGCAATATATTTAGTATCTTTACATAACTGTGAATTCCGCACTGGAAAACCTGACCGGAATATTCTATGGTTGATCCTCTAAACACGAACAAAAGCATTAAGGGAGATTTAGAGGCTACTTTTTGCATTTTTCCTTTTGCCAGAGCTCTTATGTCGGTTATGTAAATTAGACCCAAACGTAGAAATGTTACGTCAAAATGTATACATTTAGATGCAGGATGCCGGAAACAGAACACGATCAATTTTTGTGTAAATATTTAGGTTTTCGGCATTTTTTTGAGAAAATATAAATTGCATTTTTCCTATCCAACATATTGCACAGACCATAAAAGTTCTTTATAATTAAGGTGCTAGGTCAATTAGAGACGTGCATATAAATGTGATTTATACCTATTATCTGGGATTATAGCTAACATATCAGATGCATGCATTAATAAATCGCTTTAATTTTGCCCAAGCAAAATTCCCGAGAGATATTTCTATATTTCTGAAGAGTTGACATATTGGGCTGACAGAGACAACGATTTTAGTAAGAATTTAATGG